TAGGCAGCGATGAGGGCTCCCCTCAGCCTCCTCTGCTCCAGGCTGAACCCCCCCAGCTCCCCCAGCCGCTCCCCAGCAGCCTTGGGCTCCAGACCCCTCCCTAGCTTGGTTGCTCTCCTCTGGACATGCTCCAGCAACGCAACATCTTTCTTGTAGTGAGGGGCCCAAAACTGAACACAGTATTTGAGGTGATAGGCAAGGTGATATTCAAGGGAACACATGTGTCAGGCAGGACTGCACGGCCCATGGTCATCCTTGGGGCCACCAAGCTGCAGGCGCGACAGGCGTGAGAGCACAACGCCCAAGGCATGGAAAAAACCCAGTCACGTCTCTATTTCAACAAGATATTTTATTGGTCCAGCAACTGCAAAATATACAAATTTCTGAAAGGCATACCCTGTTTTTAAGCTGGCACAGCTTTATATCAGGCAATTATTCCAGACATATATACAGAACAGTTAACATACTACAAATCAAAAAGGAAAAAAAAAAAATCCCATGTAACTACCCCTTCTGTCCAAGCTTTGCAGTACACATTAAATAAATAGAGCGCTTTGCTATTAAAAAAAAATAAAAAAATAAATTCAAGTATCACAAAGGAAAACAAAACCAGGAAAAAAGGGGGAGGGGGGGGGAAGAGGAAAGAAATCATTGGTGTGGTTCAACAAGTCCCCATCCCACCTACCGCCAACCCCTCCAGCACCAGAGGACCTCTCTGCTGCTCAGAGACCAGTTTTTCCCCTTTGCTGGAAAAAAACAATGCCAGGTTCAAATTTCATTTTTTTTTTAGGACCTACCAAGACTTCTATTATGCCCAAAGGAAGAAAGTTGAGGGTCATTAAGGTTTTTTTGCCGTTTGATTTTTTTTATATATAAGGTCTTTTATATATATATACACACACACACACACACACAAATACACGCCAAAACATCTGCGGAATTACTTGTTTACAGGATTGATCACAGGGCAGCCAGACGTCATGTTCACGTTTGCCGGCTTATCTTTCCTTAGCAGGAGGGGAATGATAAAACTCCCCAGGAAGGAGGCTGAAAAGCCGCCCCAAAACGTTCCTTTTTCTCAAAGTTGGAGAAACCAAAAGGGCAGATGTCAACCGTGCACACGGAGAAGTCTGCTTTTAATATGTTTATTTAAAAAAAAAAAAAAAAAAAAGGTGGGGAGGGAAGTGTTCTCTGTTTCGTCTGTACAGGAATATAATACACATATGAACAAGCTCACACAGGCGGGGCAGCACCAAGACCATCTCTCCCCCGGGTCGGATTCGGACCGAGTGTGGTCCCGGCCCCCTCCCACCATCAGTGCTGCTCTGAGCACAGGCTTTGGCTGCACGAGGCTGAAGCGCTAGGCACTGTGGTTTGCCTTTTCCCAAAGGAAAAACAGACCAACCCCCCCAAGAAACACACACACAAAAAAATTAAAAAAAAAAAAATAAAAAAAAAAA